TTTCTCCCTATTTCTTTTTTCTTTTTTTTATTCCCTCTACACCAACATAGCTAGTGCCACACTCAGAGCTTAACAAGCTCGGGTTCGCCAGTATCAATTAAACGAAGCAATGAATCAACAAAAACTAATTTCCCAAATCGTAACTTTAAACTCCAAATTACCGGCGCGAAAAATGAACCAAACTACCTCATCACTTCGCAAAAGAAAAATATGCAAAATAATAAAAATAAGAACAATAATGGTAAATTTTATGGTAATACTAGGCCAGTAATAGCAGCTAATAAATTTTACAGCAATTTAATTGGAAAATAATTTTCCTCAACAAATATACGCAATGAGAATCCGTAATCGAAAAACAAACAAAAGAATTACCGCTCGTTTTTTCTTCTCATTTTTTATACTTTCCTTTTTCCTTCTTTTTTCTTCCTTCTTCTCCTCGATACTTTTGTTCTCCAAATCTGTTTTCTTGGACCGTTTCCGCTTTTTTTCTTTTTCTGTGATATTGACAAAATCAGCCTCATACTGTGCATCGAAATCATCCATGGTCTGCCCGTCTAAAACAATTTAATTTTAAGCCAAAAAAGCCGAAACCTAGACAATCCGATATTTTAATCAAGGAATATTTAGCCCATATATTCTGATATTAAGTACAATCAATAAACCTGTCACCAAAAAGAAGCCACATCACTCTTTTTTTCTAAAACAGATCACACAGAATAACAAGAATTTAGGTATTCAAGAATTTGCGGACTTCTGATAGGGTGCCCTAAAAATTTTTCTCGAGCATTTTTCTATTTATTCGTGATACCTGCCTGTACCCCTATAATCTCAGATAAACTTTTTTAGGCTTTTATGCCGTGTTACTTGCCACTCAATTTGCTGGCAATCGATTGATAAAGCTTGTCTCCGAGAGGTGTCGGAAAAATAAGAAACCATTACATCAGTTATCGAAGAAGTTGGAGGCAGCGGGTACTGCCTAAAGGCATGAAAAGCAAAACAGGGCCTGACACTGCTAC